ACCCACCCACCCACATGGACACTGAATAAAGAGAAATACAGATTAATAAATGTTTTTATTTTTAGGTAATCTTCTACTGTGATGTAGCACCTGAGGAGGGTACTGGGGGCCTGACACCCATTACCAAAATCTCTGAGGTTATGGAACGGCTTGATCCAAAGTTGGTCCAAAAATGCGAAGAAAAGAAGATTCGTTATCATCGGTATCTTCATAACGGAAAGGGATACCTCCCTTGGCAAGTCACCTTCCGTACTGATGATCGTAAGGTAATGCGTAATAGCAATGCTTGAATATTCCAGTTTCTTGTTCTCTTTGCTCAGCCTTAGCCTCAGTTATACGTTATAACATTCAACCATTTAACCGAAACCCGTAGCATTTTAATCAACTCGTATTTTTCCGTATTGTACGTACATTCCTTACTATACAATGGACCTTAATGAAAGAAAAGAAGACATTTGTACACAATTGACACTAAGACTGAACAAAGGCAAACTTGAAATGGAAGTATTCGATGGGGGTTTCAAACTACTACACGTGGTACAAATAAGAAACCCTGCTTGGTCGATAAGCTCATGAATAATTAATGAGTATAAGATTTATATTTCAAGTTTGCGCTCTCTCTTTATTGTTTCACAGGCCAATGTTGTGTTTGCTAGCGCGGTTTTGCAATCACTTATTGCAATAAATATTCTAACCAATCATGTCAGCTTTTGAAATTTCTAGTGTTTCAGAGTATCTGGCATTTCTTTGAGCATGCGCAGTAAGAGTGAATGGGCTCTGGAATCTAGATTTGCTATAGGACGTGAAAAATCACCGAATGATGTTCTAGCGAGGACGGCAACAGCGAGGACGGCAACAGCAAGGACGACGACGAGGGATCAAAAAGTTTTGGAAGCGTCCTTGTGTCATTGTCCGGCGTCGCCCTCCTCGCGACTCGCTGACACGTGGATCTTAAAGTAGTAACAGCAGCACCAGCAGCTCCTTTTAACTCGTATGTGCCTTACCTTACCTAAATCTTTTAAACTTTTTACCTGTAGGAGGTTGAAAAGTATTTAGAAGCCAACAAACTCTCCTACAAGTGGCACGAAGACGACAGTCTTTCCTATTGGCTCAACCTACCGGCCATTATACGTCATCCAGTAACAGGAGAGAAGGTCTGGTTCAACCAATATGATTCTCACCATTGTACCTATATAAAACACCACTCCTCACCGATGTTAAAAGAGCTCACTTTTGAGTCAGATTTCCACTACCCGACCCATACTACTTATGGAGATGGCACAGATTTAGAGCCGGAAATGCTCCAACACATCCGGGCCATTAAATGGCAGTGTAGTGTGGGTGTTCAATGGAAGAGGACGGATATGATCGTCTTCGATAATCTGAAGGTCATGCATGGAAGAATGAGCTATACTGGAGAACGTAGATTACTAGCCTATATTTGCAGGGACTAGCCGATAGAATGAGCAGACTATAAGCCAGACATGGTAGACTTAACTATACTGGAGAACGTAGATTACTAGCCTATATCTGCAGGGACTAGCCGATAGAATGAGCAGACTATAAGCTACCAAATTTCGCATGTGTGTTTCTTGCTACATTAGGCAGATTAAGATTTCCGTTTTTCCTTCCCGCAAACGGCAAACGTGACCACGTTTTCATTGTTTCCCTACATTTCACTTTACCTTTTGCAAACCTTCTCACCAAAGACAAGTATTCTTTTGTTTATCTATTACTTGGAGATTTTTGCGATTCCATTTCACTTATTTTAAACGGAATTTTTTAATGGTCAGCTGCGTTTTACGTTTGCCGTAAACGGGGATCTTAAACTTTCTATTGTCTAGGCACGCTATCCGACAACCGTGAACTTCAGTTTACGAGCGTACCAATATAAATAGTGATTGACATATTTCCAAGACGGCGTCTATTTCGTTATCCTAAAACAATCCCAGAATGCACTGTAATGCCAACTCGACTAAGTCATTAATTACAGAATTAAATTTTCATATGTTTTAATCTGATTTGTGAAATACTTGAGATTTAACGCGTTCGCCGATTGGCTGGCTACTGTGTTTATATCAAAGGATAGAGACACACTCGCGCAAAATTGTACAAAAATACTTTGTCAAGAGCAATATAAAACGGATGCTTATGTCTGTATCGTGTCTCGCTTCTCTTGTGCTCTAGACTCTTCCACGGTTCGAAAAGTAAGATTCCCATGGGAGTGTAGTACCATTCCGTGGACGTTGCTTAGATCATGTGTTGATTCAGTTCATATTCGTCCCCACATCTGACTTCAGGTATGACGTCACGCACAGTGAACACTGACTTATGACAGAACCCCGACCCCACCCCTATAAAAACTGAAGCACAAAATTGCGATGTATTTGTATAAAAAAATCAACAAAAAGATAAGTAAAATAAACACGAACCGTACCACAGGTAGCCTAATTAAGGAAGTACTCGTCGACATGATGCTGACAAAATAACCTCTCATGCTAGCCGCCTTCGCAGGCTAAACCATATATTCTCTGTTGGTATCCCTGTGTTGAATTATATGGCAGAGAAGAACTCGCCACAGGAAGCCCGAGGAGCAAATATTCCAAACCCAGCGTTACATTCTTAGATAACAATTACGGCTCAGTTTTGAATTGTTAATTGGATTACCCTGCAATTCAATGCCGTAAGGTAATACTCGGGAAAATCTTATGACCTTAGTTGTACTAACACGTAACGTATAGTGTGATTGTAAAGGTTGGTACAGTGAACTGCAATGTCTTTATCGTTGTTCTTGTCGGTCTCCAGACGACAGTCATCAATTGTGAAACATTTACAGAGGTTTCATGCAGCCAAAATCTCCAGAAGAACAGCAGTACTTGGCTATTATCGAGAGAAGTAAGTAAAACCTTTACAAATCACTGATGTAAGGGATAAACTTTTTGTCCAGTAAATCAAGGGAAATCTAACTATGGGTAGAACTGAATCGCTCCTGTTACATCTCAGATAGGAGGCCGTTACATGTAACGAATGCACAAACAACGGCTCAGAGGATTCCGTTTTAGTTGGTAAAAGGCGTTCATTTTTCCAATTTATTATCAGATCCTATCAAGCCTTTCAAGAATCTCATCAAGATGAACTTTTCTCACCACTCGACCCTTGTGAACTGGCTCCAAAGAGAAAGTATCCTTTAGCAGGGATCAAATATCTTCCTGGTTCTGACGGTAAGGGATTCCCAGAGTTCCTAGCAAACCCTCGACAAGGTCTTCCACAAGCGTACAAGATACAGCATGCTGACCAGTTTTCTATCAGTGAGTGGGCTCAACACTGCAGGAAGCTGCTCGATGAACAGTTACCAAAGTATGGTGTGGTGTTGTTTCGTGGACTTCCTCTGTCTACAGGAGAACATTTCTCATTGTTTTCAAATGCCTTGGGTTATACTGCCATGGGATACGATGGAGGAACTGGGGAACGACCCACGTTTGATCAAGAAGCTCAGATCTATGTTTCTACTTTAGAAGACAAGGCTAACAATATGGAGCCACACAACGAGATGTCGTATTTGCCGGTGTATCCTAGAAAGGTAACATGGCAGTGTATATTACTTATTATTTGTTTCTTCCAGCTGATCTGAAATAGTGACGTATCTAAAAGACTGGATGTAAACTGCGAATAGCGCAGCGCAACAGTGACGTCATAAAAACGAAGACAAAGGCGAAATTCGGACAAACAAACTTACAAGTTTACTTTCAGCAGATAATTTTCACAGCCGATCGCAGTTGATCTTAGTTTACATGGGTTATTATTGTAACTTTAAGCAAAAATAATAAAATCGATTCGTATAATCCTCGTAGCGGTTAAACAGAATGCAATGTTTGTCCGAATCTTTAAGCTATTTTTAGGATCAGTGCGCTGCGCTATTGACGCACCAGCTGAAAAGTAAAACATGCCTTTCATTGCAATAAATCTAAAACTCATTAATTAGTGTGTCATTGTTATCAAGCACTTATATTAGCAGCTTACTTTTTCATTTGGTGGCCTGGAAATCCATAATATTGAAAAGAAAAGTGACAACTCAGTTTTGCAAATTTTCTCGATTCCGATTTGCTAACACTTTTCCTCAGATCACCAATCACATCACCTGTAGCTCTGATAGCTCTGGCCCGTTAGGTTCCGTCCATACTTATGTCGGCTTTGAACCGCTTCGCTCTTAGAATCGTTTTTGATTTTTTTTTTACTCTTTCCGGCAATAATTCTTTTCATTCGAAAGGCAAACTTGCTTATGTTATGACGCGCCAAAAACCTAATATGATGGAAAATGGCGTTTCGATCTATACAAAATTGTTCAGTGACATCAACAATCTCGCTCTTCTCACTTAACGAAAGTGCTCCTCAATTTTACTCTGGAATAATTGAAGCGCTATGGAACTAAAAAGTTTCGGTAGCTAGAAAATGATCGACGTTTATGGAGCTTATTATGTCCCAGACGCCGTCAAGGAAACGCCCTATAAATATGTCATTATTTCATCACTAAAATTGATTTTTCAGGTAATATTTCACTGTAACGTACCACCAGAAGCGGGCTGTGGAGGAGTAACGCCCATTACCAGGAACTCTGAGATACTAGAGCTACTTGATCCAAAGATAGTCCAGAAATTCGAAGAGAAGCAGGTTTGTTACATTAGAACTCAACCCGATGGAATCAAAAGTTACCTTCCTACGTGGCAAGACTCATTTCGTACCGACGACCGCAAGGTAAAGAGTGACGAAAAGACGAGTTAATAGCCCACTTTAGATCGAGATATGCTGCGCTTGTCACGCACAAAGGTTTCAGTGTGAGGCTAATTGATTCGTGACAGGAGAAAAGATTCCATTCAATTTAGCATGTAGCTTCGTACTGTGATTTTCGTGTGCGTCAAGCTAAGAATATCTCGGAAGGGTGCTATTGGATTAGTGTTTGATGGTCAGCGTGAGAGTAGTCTGTAGAAAGCTAGACTGTTGTGGCTGGAGACTCAAATCAACTCAGGATCAGCTGGACTGTCAGTGACTATTATATCGCGAGTTAAAAAAAAATTTTTTTTGCTTCACAGAGAGTTGAAAAAGTTTTAGAAAAAATAAAATCTACGTACAAATGGAACCAAGATGGCAGTCTCTGTTACCGGTACAATTTACCAGCAACCATCTACCATCCACAAACAGGAGAAAAAGTTTGGTTTAACCAGGCTTGCGCTCACCACTGTACTTACTTAAAAAACTCACCGATGTTTGACGGAGTTATCTTCGAGTCTGACTCTCACTACCCCACTCATACTACTTATGGAGACGGGACCGAAATTGAACCGGAAGTGCTCCAGTACATCCGGGAGATTGGATGGAAATGTACCGTGGGATTCGAATGGGAGAAAAGTGACACTTTGGTGCTTGACAATCTTAAAGCCAGGCATGGTAGACTTAGCTATACTGGAGAACGTAGATTACTAGTCTATATGTCTAGTGACTAGCTGATAGAATGATCATACTATGAGCCAGGCATGGTAGACTTAACTATACTGGAGAACGTAGATTACTAGTCTATATGTCTAGTGACTAGCTGATAGAATAAACAGACTATGAGCCAGGCATGGTAGACTTAACTATACTGGAGAACGTAGATTACTAGTTTATATGTCTAGCGACTAGCTGATAGAATGATCATACTATGAGCCAGGCATGGTAGACTTAACTCAAGCACTGGAGAACGTAGATTACTAGCCTATATCTGCAGGGACTAGCTGATAGAATAAACAGACTATGAGCCAGACATGGTAGACTTAGCTGTACTGGAGAACGTAGATTACTGATCTATATGTCTTGTGATCATAGCTGATAGAATAAACAGACTATAAGCCAGACATGGTAGAATGAGGTATACACCTGAGTACTATTGAGCAATTTGTCTATTTTTCAGCACGTCAATCAGTCAGGAAAAAATCAAGACCCTGGGACAGGGTATGCTTTGATACCTAGCTGTCCTGGGTGGGAGAGTTTACCCCGAAGTCTTCAACTGAGTATAAAGGCGAAGAGTTTCGAAAAACAGTGATATAGTTAATAATAAACGATTGAAGCCATTTGGGTAAAAGAATTGAAAAATATAAATATTGAAACGTAACAACGTAGCAATAGACATAGCAAAGGGAGCCCAACTTAGATATTATCATCTACTTCTGAATTACAGGCAGTGCCAGTCGCTAATAATAAATAAGAAGCCATAATAAATATAGAAAATTTATAATAAATAAAGAAAAATCTATTTAATTTTAACGCGTGCGCATTACAACGGATTGAACTCTCTACAACGATCTTTCATAGGTACACAGCACTATCAACCATGATTTAACTGTATTTTACATCCCGAATCCCCCAAAAAACTACTAACTATGCTCAAACAAATGCTCGAAATAAAACTCTAAACAGAGTAGAAATTGAAACGAAGAAAACACAGATACCGAGGCTAAGAAGGGCACAGGGAACCCATTCTCTGAAAAGTTGAACCACGAGTTCGCCACAGAGCGCGTTTGATTACTTTATTTCGTGTTGGTTTTTATTTTTGTCCTTCTTCTTTCGTTGCCTGGCTTTTTCATGTTTTGTTTTGTTTGGTTTGGTTTTGTATTTAAGCTAATTTAAAAAGTGCTTTATTTCTTGTGTTCTGGTACTAACACTTCTGGCTATCAATGTAGTCTTAGTTGATGAATATTTATTGTACCGCGATGTTTTCAGCCAATCAGAGCACAGGCAAATGATATAAACCGAACGACTTAACATATGTGTTACATAGTAAGCGAAGAGCTGATCTGTAGAGGAGTTGCTGAAGAACTGAAGAGAGCTGCTTTTGTGATGGATTCCAACGAATCATTAAAGAATACTTCGAGACACCCCAAATGCGCCCGATGTAGAAACCATGGCGTGGATTCTCATCTCAAAGGTCATAAACACCATTGTAAATGGCGGGATTGCACGTGCATCAAGTGTATCCTGATAGCAGAAAGGCAGCGAATCACAGCAGCAAGAGTAGCATTATTAAGGTATCAAACCCTGAGTGGAAATCCGGCCAATGCTGATTGGCAAGGTAATTATAACGCGGGGGAAACAAGTGTCCCAGACCACGAGGACCTGACGGATGGTGAGGCGGAACCCAGGCATCCCCTCGAGTTTCATGGCCATGTACGAGAAGCACAGAGATCGTTTACCAATACTACTGTACTCCAAGGAGCACAAGGTAAGACTGATCAAAATATTCATAAAACTCGACCAAGTTTTGTGTCAAAAACGAATATCAATTTTTTAAAGAGAGAATTCTTTTCGTATTCAAGCAGTGAGCGCCAAAAACTATTCTCAGAAAGGCTGTTGTACAAGGTTAAAATCTTGTTATTCAGAAAGTTTAACTTGTTTGGAAGTGGAGAT